AAAAAAAAAAAAAAAAAAAAAGCAAATACCATATCACTTGTCATTATGAATCACAGTGGAAATAAATTTAAAAATAAAAGTGGTTTGTTTTTGGAATAGTGTAATAAAAATCAAATTAAATCAAATAAACAAATAGAAGTGTAATTAAATATCAGTTTACCCTGTTTGTCACAATTTGGGACCTCAGGCTAGCTAAATGAGCTTGGCTCATGATTTGGAGCATTGTCTAGTCAAATTCTGTTTTGTGGTGGTTCGTTCAGAATGGAAAGGGCTTCAGCTTTGGCTGAATGGGCTTCCATAGGCTTGCCCTGGGGCTGGAGTACCTAGGCACATTCTTAGTACCAGTGACAAGAATGAGACCTTAATGACATCAAGGCTTAACCCTTCTGCTGTTGAGGGACCTGTTTCTCTTTGAGGTCCATCATCATAGGAACAAGTGAAAGATTTTCCCCACAGAGAAATGTTGACTCTCTAAACGACTGTGGAGATCCTGAAGAGACAGGATCTCTGTGGCTCCAGATGGTTTTGTGTTCCATGTTGTGATTTGAAGATAAGCGAAAGCATTCTTTTCCTCCTTTTCAAGGCAAAGACTTTGCCATGTCTACACTTTGTCATGTCTATACCAAGGGAAAGGGTGGCTGTTGATCACAGCCTTGGTTTCTGTTCATTTTTCTCTCTTTTGTAAGGGCTGCCATTTGGACCATTTGTGAAAGACCCAGTGACAAATGTAGTCCAGTGATTTTCTAGTACATAAATCTAGAAGAGTACAAGGGGTGATCAGAACCTTGGTTGCCTGCTTAGGGGGGTACAGTGAGGGATAAAGAAAAAAGAAATTTTCAGGTTCAGGGGGATTGGGAGGTGAGTGCTTCAGAATGGGAAGACAGAAGCCTCTTCGGCTGGCCCACTTCTATTAACCAGTGAGAAGTGTAGGTGGGGTTGTGTACTTTTCCTGAAATAGTGACTGCAATAAGAATGATGTAGTAGAATGAAGGAAAAAGGAAACAAGTAAATATCCCTCTCCACACTTGCTTTCTTTGTTTTGTCCTCAGCAGAGGTTATCTTGCCACAGGAGTTCTGGGGTGGTGGTGGTGAGGATTCCATCCCACCCAGCCAGGAAACCTGAAGCTTTGTGCAAAAACTTCCTTATTCCTGAAGCGAATCAGCATCTGCTTTGTGGCTGTGGGGCCTATCGCATCTGCTTTGTGGCTGTGGGGCCTATCGTTTGGCTCCTGCCAGTGGCTCCCACCAGTCTGTACATATCAGCTTAGGTCCACAACAGAAAGGCAAAAGCAGTCATGGAAGAATCTCTGACTCACTGGCATTGCCAGACAGGTTCTTTCTTCTTCCCTGGATTCCTTTTCCAGGAGGATGCACATGTCTGTCACCATGAGTCCTGGGGGTTGGGGAGAGATAGCAGGAATTTTTAGCTTGCACTTAGTATATCCTTAGGGCATTTGTAACATTGGCTGTTGTTCTTAGCAGCTGTTTTTTAGCAAATACTAGGCATGGTGATTTCTGGTTTGGTTGACTGCTTCTTTAGAGTAGAAACAGGGAAAGGTGATTAAAAAAGAATTAAGATGTGTTATATACATGTACCAACTCCATGTTAAGTGTTGCACCCGTATGTGCTGCACACATATACAGAAAAGGGAGGGGGCCAAGAGATAGAGCGGGAGGAGGGAAGAGAACAAGGGAAAAAAGGAAATTAAGCTGTCTTACGAGCATGTAACAATTTCCCACAAGGAGTGTAAACATTATGTGCTGCACATGTGTATTAATGAAAAAAAGGAAAAAAGAAACAGGTAGTGAGTGTTTTTTGTCAGTTACATATATACATACAACTAAATGCTAGTCATGGGTCAAAAATAAGTTTCTGGTGGTAGTAAAGCCCATTTGCAATAATAGCACAGTAACTTAAAACCAAAAAAGTAAGAACTTTCCAAAAGAAAACAACTTTTGCACACACACAAAAGAAGATTATATTATGAATAGGTTTCAAGATATTAATAAGATTAATTTTAGTCTCAGCCAACCACAAGCAACCAACTGTTCAAGCCATATTCAAATAAAATTGAGAGCTGTAAAAAAAAAAAGCTTAATTTTAATGAAAATCCCAGCGACACTGGGGGAGCAGGGTTTGTGAAACATCACTAAAATCTGTAGGTGAACATCAAGATACAAGAAATCTTTGAAAATCAGTGGTGTTGGAAGATTACAGTGTATTGTGGAGCAGTATGCAATATGCAGACATCGGTCTATTCTAGACAGGGACAGCACTGGCTATGAGCAATCCTCATCTCCCCAGAGTGAGTATAAATTTGTAAATGTCAAAAATGGCACCATGAATCATTAGAGATAGAGAACTGGTCAGCTCATCTTGTGGGTACAACTGGTGAGGACTGAAGGTAGATTCTCCCCTCATGCCATCCTGACTATAGTTACTTGATCTCCAGCCCTTCAGGGTTCACAGTGATACAGTGTTGCTTTCTACTATAAAACATCATGTTTTCCCCAAAAGTCCTCTCCCGTGACCCAAGACTCCAGGCACATAAAGACCCTGTGGTAAGGCAGGATGTTCTGAGGGTTTGGGGTTACCTCCTAGGAACTGGCCCAAGGCCACACACAGTTTTGGAATGTGCAAGCCCCAGAGTTGCCTGTTGAGTCAGCCTGCATCGTTTTGCTAGACACAGCTCCTTGCTGGGCTTCACGGAGATTGGAGACTTGGGAAGGGCTTAGTTTATATAAAGAGGAAGGGGCAGAGTCTGAGAATAATATGGAAGGACCTTGCCCATTGTCTGACCACATGCAAGATTAATGAAGGGGCAGCTGTTCAAAGAGGAGAAGCAGAGGCATCAGCAGGTATGGGAATGTGGATGGATGGATGGATGTGGATGGGAGACACAGTTGTTTTCAGGTCTCCATGTCCATGTCAGAGTTCATACAACAGCTTCGTGTCTTCTTTAGCACTTCCTTGACAAGGTCAATGGCTGCTGATTATATCTTAGAATGAATGCTGTGAAGTTTCACACAGACCACTTGGTTAATCTCTATTTGGAGAATAAATTTTGTGAAGAGGTTTGAAGGCATTGATTTTGATTCAGATATCTTCACTTCATAGTTTTTTATGGTTTGGAAAAGTGTCTCCCCAAGCCTCATGTGTTAAAGGCTTGGCTACCAGGAGGTGGGACACCAAGAGGTGGGGTCTAGTGAGAGGAAGTTAGGGCATTGGGGTATGCCCTTGAGGAGAAGGGTATTGGGTTCTTAGCCCTTTTCTATACCTTTCCTGTCCTAACCTCGGTATGGCAAGCAGCTCCCTCCACCATGCACTCCCGCCAGGCTGTACAGTCTTGCCATAGGCCCCAAAGTAATCCCTCTAATCATAGGGTAAAACCTCCCAAACTGAGCCAAAATAAACCTTTTCTCTTCATAAGATGACTGTTTCAAGTATTTTTCTATAGTGACAGAAAACTAACACAGTTATGATGCATGATATTCAATTTTTTTAGCCCAATTGCATTATAAACTGTCAATAAAGGGTATTTTAAAACAGCTGTCTTAGTTACTTTCTCATTGCTGAAACATAATGCCAGACATCCGAGGCTCTATGGAGAGATTTATGCTGGCTCACCTCACAGTTCATAGAGGCTTCAGTCAGTCTATGGTTGCCTGGTTCCAAGGCAGAGTGGCTTGGCAGAGGACAGTGGAAAAGAGAGAGAGAGAGAGAGAGAGAGAGAGAGAGAGAGAGAGAGAGAGAGAGAGAAGCACACAAGGGAGGAGGAAAGAAGGTAGACCTTCCCAGAATATGCCTCTAGTGACCCATCTTCTCCAAATAAG